AACTCGATCTTGAAGACGATGTTGAGGACAAAAAAGGGAAGTGAAGTCGTTCCCCATATGCATAGAAATGGAGACCTCCAACGTTAAACTGGATGGAGGTGGAGAAGAAGAAGAAGAGGAGGAGGAAGGCTGACGTCCCCACGGCTACCTGCGTCCTCCAAACAAGCACGCACTGTCGGCAGAAGGAAGCCAAGCAACGGGCCTTTTCCCAACGTCAAGTCGCCCAACGGCACTCTCCCCCTCCTCTGTCCTCACGTCGGGCTTTGCATGGGATTCGCTACACGTGAAGGTAAACAGTCTTCCCATGATTACCTCACCTACTCCTCCACTGCTCACCCAACATCTCACCGTAATCGCATTTCTTTCCTTTGGATCATCGATCCATCGTTCCCCGACGTCTGTCTCATAAATAAATCATGCCCATGAACTGTTCGTCAGAATGCCAAGTCTAAACTACTATGATGTTGTCCTTTGATTGGCAGCTTAAAGGTCCTCGCTAATAAGAGCGTCCTTTTGCTTGTAATCATGCTCCATATGAACCTCTAGCTTCTTGAGGTCTGACAGACAAAAGTGAAACCAGTACAAGGAATTAGTTGGCACAAAACCTAATTAATTGATCTGCCTCACATCACTCACATCGCACTCGTTCGGACTTTACAGTAGAAAGTATGGGCTCCAAATGCTTCTAGCCTTAGTTAATTTGCATGCTGTAGAGTGGCCATGCAGTTTGCTGATGTTCTTCTTCTTTAGCTCAGCGAAATGGTTCATATAGATTCGGACATGACAACCAATGAAGAAGAAAGATATGCCTTCCTGAATGTCGAACAGTGTACAAATATATTAGACTGCTGGAGAAACACCAGCAGATGAGCTGCTGCTATGCTAATCTTTTGTTGTGGCAGTGCAACCAAATGAATCCGATCTCCTTCCTCAAATCAGTACAAGGCAAGAGAGAAAAATGGGGTGAGGAGGGTGTGTGTGATGGGTCAAGGAGGGCAGACATCAATGATTGGACTGGAGCCAAGATGCATGAAAATGGGAGGACTTCTCCACAAGCTTACAACCCAGTGCTGAGCAGCTGCAGGTACGAAACACTACCTTTTCCTTTCACCATCCATCCTTGGCCTCCTCTCGCCAGCCAAGTTACAAATGAGAGAGTGATGGGGGGAGTAGTAGGAGCACAATAGTGGTACTCCCTCTTTAACTGCATCGTTCACCAAACTCCCCTCGGAGCCCTTAGATCTCATTTACTCTCTTCGTTTCTGCCCAACCCATTAAGTTCTTTGTCCCAACCTCCTCCTGCACATTGCCACTCCCCCTCCCATTATTGCTCTTCTTCCGGTGGGAGCTGCAAGCCTTCTATTTATTTCATCTGTGGTGCCACACCTTTCCTGCACATCAGCATTAATCACAGTGCCTCCAACCATGGATCTCTTTCTACCCTGCCTTCTTTTTGTTATGCTGCATTGGAGCAATGCTCAACCTTCCCCTGGTTACTACCCGAGCTACAGGTTCAGGCCTCTGAGAGGCTTCGACCGTGGCTTTAACAACCTCTGGGGTCCTGAGCACCAATCAGTCTCAGGAGACCAGTCGTCGGTGACAATTTGGCTCGACAGGAACTCGGGTCTCTTTACTTGCTTGCTTTCATGCTTTGCGTCTTTCTCTGATATCTCCATCGCTAATGGCCTGCTGCTCAAATGCCTGACAGGAAGTGGATTCAAATCGATTCGCCCATTTCGAAATGGGTATTTTGGCGCATCAATCAAGCTCCAACCTGGCTACACGGCAGGAGTGATCACTGCTTTTTATGTGAGGAACCTCGATCTCTTTCGCTCAAGAGTTCGCCTTTCTTAACTCTGCTTCTGGCTCGATGATGTTGGATATATCTTGCGAATCTCGATCAGGCATTTGCCAAACTTTTTTTTGATACTTGTGGCGATTCGTAGCGTAGATTTAGGAACCAGGAAGCGTTTAATGGATCGGCAAATGCCTTGCAGCTATCGAACAACCAAGCGCATCCTGGGTTCCATGATGAGGTGGATATCGAGTTCCTCGGAACCACGCCTGGGAAGCCATACACACTGCAAACAAACGTGTACGTGAGAGGAAGCGGCGATGGAAACATCATCGGCAGGGAGATGAAGTTCCACCTATGGTTTGATCCAACTGCTGGATTCCATAACTACGGCATACTTTGGAATCCAAATGAGATCATGTAAGTAACCTAAGCTTTAACTGGAGCCCATTCTATTTTCCTTTATCTTGTGTTGCCTTTGATTCGACTTTTGCACGGTCATCACTGAATTGGACAAGGCTGAAGCCAAAGAGAAAGAGGCTCTCTTTCTAAAGAACTAGTAGAGAGAGGAGGGGGGAATAAAGTAGGCAGCCATCATAATACCTAAACAGCAGACAAGAGTGTGATACAGACTTACATGGAGTCCTCCTAACTATTTAACTTGTGTTAGCATCCATTTTTGAACTACCTAAGATTAAAGGTCCTGTAGGCAAAGAAATTGCAGCCATCATAATTGTTAGAACAGTGAAGACAAAAGCAGATTACAATATGGTATAGGTAGAACAGGTAAGCTTCAAAGTAGTGATTCTAGCTATTTATGTTTCGTGTTGGTTTTGCTTCATGTGTTGGCACAACCATCTATGAACTAAACAAGGTTGAAGACAAAGACAAAAGGTCCTTTTTCTAGAGAAACTATAGTAAAGAGAAGGATACAAGATAGACAGACATCAAAATAGTCGAGTCAAGATAAAAAAAAATAACATACAGGCAAATTTTGCGAGGTTAATGTGTTGTTGAGGAGGTTAAAAAGCCATCTTTCAAAGTAAAAAACTACAGGAAGTAGGAGAAAGTTAAAAAGAAGGCATCCACCATACTACTTCAGTCAAGGTGAGGTCATAAAGTGGAAGGAATAACCCAAATGTCCAATGTAGCAATACCTTTTCCTACTTGTTTTCAGCAATGTTTGCTACATTACACCTCAGTCATTGGATTGTGTCAATCACTGTGGCAGGAAGGAAGTACATGGTGTAGCCATCCATGATACTTGCAGATGAGAACAGTAGGCATGCAATTTCATGGGTTTTTCTAGTCAACTTGCAGATTTAGGAAAGAGGAGGAGTGCCTCTACCACCTATCAAACAAAAACAGAGTGCTCATGGGTCCCAGCACTCCTGTAGTGGACTCCAATGCTGCACAAGAACCTCTATGGACCATTGCGGTTGGTGCTCCACTCTTGACTTCAATTTGTGATGCATGCCAATCCCCTTTGTGGTAGGGTGTCAAGTTCAAGAAATGGCCACACAGCCCAGTACTCAATTTAGCTTGTTGGATATGCAGAATCATTTTCATTCAATTAGTGTTACCTACTACACTACTAGTAATGGATGGAGAAGAATATTTCTCTACACTCACAGTTGATGTAGGAGTCCACAGTAATGATATGTAGTCAACTTGTTCAACAGTAGTGATATAGTACTTCTGGTGGAGAAAATTTGATGGAGATTTAACTAAGAAATTAATTTTTATAAATGGATGGTTTTGGGAGCATTCAGGAGGTACATGATTTTGTACTCGAATATAATTTATTTATATTTTTTCTCATTTAATCAAGTTTATTAGTTTATGTTGAATTTTGATGTAATTGATCCCAAATAGTTAGGATCTTACGGCTTATCGTTGTTAGTCTTTAGAAATATCAAAAGAGTTATTAATTTTAGAAATTACCAATATTTTTGTCTTCAAGCTTTCACACTTGTTTAGGTAATTTTAGGAAGTGTAAGTTATTCATGAAAATTTATACTATTGTTATTATGAATCAAATAAAAATAAAATTATATGTATGCACAAACTTTAGCTTGAAAACAGTAATTAAGGACACTGTCATTAATGGTGTTTTGGATTCTCATATAAATAAAACATTAATTACACTGCTGGATATTAATCACAGAGAGAGAGAGAGAGAGAGTGATTTAAGACATAAATTAGATAAACAAATATTTTTAGGGATGATTAATTAATTAAGGGTATTAGGCAGTCAACAGGATAAGTAAGTAATTGTGAAGGGGTGACTCGGAGAGCAAAAGGTAAGTCATGCATGACTTGACTGTGTGTGCAGATTCTTCGTGGACGACGTACCGATACGGCAATACCCGAGGAAGAGCGCCGGCACGTTCCCGCAGCGGCCGATGTGGCTCTACGGCTCCATATGGGACGCGTCGTCGTGGGCGACCGAGGACGGCAAGTACCGGGCGGACTACCGGTACCAGCCGTTCGTGGCGCGGTTCACCCGGTTCATCGTCCGCGGATGCGCGCCGTCGGCGCCGCCGCGCTGCCGCCCCGCGCCCTCCTCCAGCTACGGCGCCGGGCTCAGCCGCCGGCAGTTCGCCGCCATGGGATGGGCGCAGAGGCACTTCATGGTCTACAACTACTGCAGGGATCCCAAGCGGGACCATTCGCTGACGCCCGAGTGCCGCAGCTGAATGGGGTGGGGGGGGACTCTGTTCCCCAGGGGAAAGGGTCTGTTTGTGTTACGTAGTCGTTCTCGATGACACTTGTGGAAGAGGGGGAAATGTGTGTGGTCTTTACGAGGTTGGAGGTGGTTCCGAAAACGATGGTGTTTGCATCATTCCAGTTTGTACGAGGACAAATAAAGGGAATCAGATGGAGTAAGCTGCCGACACGTCGTCGATCGATTCTTTTAGGATTATTCGATGAAATTATATTTAATTTCATATTGGTTAAAATATTCAAAGATTAAAGTTTAATATAATAAAAATAGGGTTTACAATTTAGAGTCTCTTTTTTTTTTTTTTACTATTGACAACCTATTTATCATTCATAATCTCTTAAAAAATTAATAAATTATTATTATTATTATTATTATTATTATTATTATTATTATTTATAACCTTTAAATTTTAATTTTATCCCCCCTTTTTTTTTTCTTATCCACATCATTTTTCGTCGCGTCACCCCCTTAACATCATTATCTTTCGAGGAGGAAGATAAAGAAGAGGAAGGAAAAAATGAATATTTATATTTATTTATAAAAGAATAATTTTAAGATATTACTTTTTTAAAATAAAAATTATAAATAATAAAGAGGAAATTGTAAATAGTAATCTTCTAAAAAAATTAGACTACAATCCATCCATCCGAAAAGGATAAAACCATATAGAATCCATCAATTCCTTTTGTATGTTTCATAATATTAATATACATAAATATTATTGTAAATCTTATCAGAAGGCATCCACCATGATTTCTTTAACAAAAGATCACATATTCTTAGAGGACACACCCATTTTCTTAATATTTTTCACTTGAAACAATGCCCAACTTCAAAATCAAATGTATCTTGGAACTGAATTTTCAACAATGAAATAATTATGTAACTTAGAGCTCTGGTTTACTGTTGGATGATGTTGCTGAGAGATTGATAACACAGTTGATAAGATAAAATGCTTATGGAAATAGATGATTGGCTTACCCCTCTAAATGCCATAAATAGATATCTATGACTTGTATTGAACACCTATGCAAGGAGCCAAAGGAGAAAGGCAAAGACATAAAGCCTTTCCTGCTGTTCTTTTCTCCTCTTTCTGTCAGACACAGAGAGAGATTGAATAAAGAACCCAAAGACAGCTCCAAGATCATAAAGCTTCTTGGTTACAATGATGATGTTACTGGGCGTTAATGTGCCAATTGGGGCCATGTAGTAGTAACCAGTGCATGATGCTGTTTGACAGGCTAAAAATGGCTCTTGTGGCTACATCTTTGGAGTACTGTCAGTAGTAGCCTTAAGAGAATGGTACATTTGCTTTGGGCTTCTCAAATAATGATGCATTTGCTTCTAATCTCTATACCTTCACCGAATCACTTTCTTTGTATCGATAGTAGCTGAATCATCTTCTGGTTGTCTTTGTTTTTAGTCGAGAATTTTCTCGCCGGTGGAAAAGATGTTCCAAACCAGGGTGCCAATAATGTACAAGACGACAGATACCTTGAAAACATCATCCCAAGAACCTGCCAATTTATAAGATTCAAAGAAAGAAAAATAATTTGAAAAAGAAACTTAAAAGTTGAAAGTTCGATAAGTTATAATGGAAATGAAGAAGAATAAACTTTCATCAAAAAAAAGGGAAAAAAAGAAGAAGAATAAATTATTACCTCGTTGTAGGATGAATCCAGTTACAGCAGTACCAAAAACTCCTGCAAGAACTCCTGCTGTGTTTGATAGTCCCAACAAAACTCCCTATGTTTTCCCAAGATATATAAGTATATGTGTTGCCAGAAATAAAAGTAGCTTACCAGATAGATAAGCATTTTAACATGTCTATAAACCTTAGTTGGCTAGTGCTATGTGGTCTCCTCAGGGTTTCACCTATTAGGCACAGAATCAAATTCATTTTTTGATAAGCAAAGAATTAATCACATAGCTTTTTCTTATCATTTATGCCATAGAAGTGGGACACGGTATTGTTAAGTTATTTCCGGTCCATTATTTCACAACAACGTTGACTTTCCAAGATGATCATTTAATCTTCCATAACTCTTTAGTAAATGCCTCAGTGATGATAAAGCAGAACATACCGCATAACGTGGCCCAATGTCTTGGTGATTGGAATATAGACCGGACTGGGAAAAGGCATCACTACCCTGAAAAGGAAAGAGAGAGTGACATGATTAATACAGGTAGACATGGTAAGAAACTTAGTAAAGAGTACATAAAAGGTGATATTGTGCATTTTAACATAGTTAAGACCGGCTGGGACTTGCAATGTGTCAGCCAGTCATGATGTCTGGTTCTTACACCCAATCAAAATTTTCTAGTGGACATTCAATATTGCAGAAAGAAAATGGATGGGGAAGGAAAAGCCAATAGTGCTTTAGAGAAAATAAGATGCAAAGATGGAGTAAAAGTATAGTAATTCAGATCTTCTTTTTCATTTTGAAACAAGCGTGGCGTATTCTTCACCTGGCTCCATTTACCAATAGAAAGAGTAACTTGAATTAAGTTAAGATTTCTTTCTTTTTTGTAATGAAACAGACCTGACTGCATGCCATGCATAGCACAGCTAAGGCTGGAGTGCGCACATGGCTCAACTGTGTGAGAAAGAAAGCAGGCCCAAGAAAGCCAATTGACTGCATTATCTGCAAGATGTACAAAAGAATCATTAAATGAACCTGTGTATAGTACTGGATCTGCAAACTTATCTCAACAGCCCTTCTTTTGACAAGTAAGATCTCATCAAGAAAGAAGTTTCTTAAGATACATAGATGAAACATTATAGAGCCACTGTGGACAGAAAGTAAAACATGGTAAAGAGTGACAAAGGGAAGAAGGAGAGAGACCGAGGGATTGGCAAGAAGAAGAATCATCGTAGTGCTTCAACAAAAACCATGAGATGATTAAGAGGATTTGTCGCAGAGTAAATTATGAATGGAGCAGAACAATGATATTCTGCATTCGGGTCAGATAGTCAAGGTGAGTACTTACTTTACGGACAGTGGTTATAGAAAGTCCTTTGGCCACAAGAGTATCTGCAATCCATCCTCCTATATTTGCAAACACAGCCATGGTTAACCATGGCAAGACACAGAAGAGACCAGATTCTGTGAGATTAAATTTCAACACCTGCAGAAAACCAATCAAATACCCGATACATCAGATGCAAGTTATAATATATTGATAAACCATAAGTGGTTAAGCAGTTGATATGAGAAAGTATTTAAATAGTCATCGTCATCTAAGCTCTGTACTATGATCATGCATGAGCAAGAAATATCTTAATATGGTAAGAATCACAGTTATCATCTTCAAAGATAACAAATGCTGATACTGCACCTTAAATATCATATTCACTATCAAACTTAATAGGCATGTACAGGTGCATTTTTGGATTTTTACCAACATTGAAGTAAGAGTTAATAGACTTGGCATTTTTTATAGGTTTCATTTCAATACAGTTCCTCATGCATTTTGTTTTGAAGCATTACAGAGTCCTCTATAAGATAACGGAGAGAAGAAGTGTGATAGTGATTAGCACGAAGCAAATTGACAGCTACAACTACCATTGAAAAAAAAGAATCTCTTTTGGCTTTTGGAAGGTATTCAGCTTGTAAAAAATGAGATAAAATAACAAGCCTTTGGTTCCAGCTTTTGTGTTCAGGTAAAAATTGTAATATTCATCAATAGCTCATGCCCATTTTTAAAGAAATTGTCACACACTCCAGAATACATTGATTGTGAGAATATCCTATCAACAGTTCCAGTATGCAAACTGTGTAATCAAGACAATTGGCATGTGTTGAGAAGAAAAGAAACTAAGAGTACCTGATTATAGTATGTAGGCATCCAGGTTAAGAGAATAAAGGTGCCCCAGTTATGACAGAAATGGGATATTATCAGAGCCCAGACTGGCGCCTTTGACAGGATTAATCTCCATGGAATGGAAGTAACAGGCTCCTTCGATACACTTCCCCCTAGAATAAGCTTCTTTTCTTCTGCACTAAGTGCTGGATCTTCTTTTGGAGAGCTATACGCCTGACGAGAGACGAAAGAAACAAATGAGAGAAGGAAACAAACATGATAAACTGACGTCGCCAAGGAAACATGGATACACTCGGTAAGCTACTAATAGGTCACCATATCAACTAGAAATACATTTTCATACAGTCATATTTTGTGTGCCTACATATAATTGCAAATACTAGCTTTAAATATGTATGTACATGTCGTCTTTTTTCCTTTTTCTTTTTGTTAGATTCATTTGGCATGTAGCACATGTACATAGTCATACAATATGCACATGCGGAGTAACACATTGTGATATTGTGTGGTCCCAAAATTAACATCCTCAATTTTTCTCTATATATTAAATTAGTAAAAGTACATACAGCAGATGTTATACATCATTTCATCAACTTGAAATAAGTCCAGAATGACTTCCATCATAACAAATCACCACAACTACCAGAAACCCTCCTAAATCCAGACCACATGGAATGAACAGAAAGGGAATGGAAAATAAGTGGAAGAACATAGCTTACTTTGCTTTGCCACAGTGCAAACCAAACACTTCCAAGGGATCCAAATGCATAGAAAACTGAAGGCCAGCCAAATTTGTGAATTAAAATCGGTGAAAAAGCCAAGCCAGTGACAGAGCCAAGATACATTCCACTGTATACCAGTGCAAGGGATCTGCTTCTCTCAGATACAGGGATCCATTTGGAGAGTATATTATTCATAGCAGGCATAGCGACACCCTGTGAAGATAATAAGAGAGACTTTCATATAGATGACAATGGCTCTAAAGAAAGAAGAAAAATATAGATAGCAGCAACATTTAAAACAAATCAGAATTATGACTGAGATTCAAATGAAAACAAAGATTAACTAGTAATGAAGTCTCAAATCACTCCAAGTTCATTCTCACACTGGACTTGCATTCTGTGCTATGTCATTATCTGCTCCTTTTAGACAAAACTCTAGATCCTCCAAACTTGCAGTTATTCTTACTTTCATGTCATCCATCGCTTATACAAATGATAAATTCCAATAGATGGGTTCCAGAATATCAAAACGTGCACTGAGCTTACAGTACAATAATAAATTAATGATGGTATCGTAATAAACATTGTTCATGCAATGTGACAGAGATTGACTTACAGTCTCAGTATCCTAGTCATGGAAAGATACGTAGCCACATTGAAATAAATAGCACTATTGATGTAGACTATTCTTAGTGTCCAGCTAATTGCAATTTATTATAACAATGACATAATCTTTTTCCAAGTTAATAACCACAAACTTTTATGGTAGTGAAGCAGGTCTATTCAGCAGGCCAGCAAAAACTAGAAAGTCAATACTACTTAGCAAGACATACAGCGGCTCATTGTTATTGCAGCCATACCTTGTTTCTTGCAACCAGGAACCATGAGAATCAAGGACTGAAGCTGTGACTGCAGCTTATAATGATCTGCAAACTCACTCTTTTTAGTCATTTTTAAATTATTAATTTTGCTCCTTTCTTTATTTGAATGAATGTACTAATAATCATCCAGCTATGCACATGGATTGCCACGATAGTCAAAGATCCAATATTAACAGTCCCGCTGATACAGTATTGCATGTAAAATAAAGTTTTAAGTTGGCCTAAGCTAGTTTAGCTCAAAGGCTGGATAAATCCAGAGCGAGGTATGGGCTGTTAGCAGTTTAATCAACAACAAGACCATCCTCTGAAAATGCAGACCTAGAGTATGAAGTTCATGCACATGGCTTGTGACATGAACTGACAGGTAAAGAAGATCATCACAGTGCAATTTTCCTGTCATAAGCATAAAAAATAGTCCTTCCAAGAGCAACGGAAAAGTAAATGGCATTATAAAAGAAACCGACCTCACCAATCCCCATAAAAGCACGCATAACTAGTAAAAATGGGAGTCCAATCTTAGCAGCAATTGGAGTAAGAATTGTTGCTATTGACCACCAGACAACACCAAAGCCCAATACCAGTTTACCGCCAATCTTATCTGCCCAGATACCTCCAACAATCTGCAGATTTCAAAAAGCACATGACTCATCAACTACACAGGGAAAACATCAGTGTAACAGGGTTGGATTAGGCACTAATGCTACTATGGATGTTACAACATACCCAACCGTATTCCAGATAACTATGCCAACAAAGAATAAATATGAAACAGTTTGCATTATCACAACACACCTGGGTGAGTAGATAGCCCCAGAAAAAAGATGACTGAATTAGGCCCATAGTTGCTGGATTCCAATTAAATTCTGCTGCCATTGGAAGGATAGCAATGCTCATATTTACCTGATTTAAACTCAGATTAATAAACACAAAATGATCATAATCAGTACCTATATGCATCAAGAGAACAGTATGTGATTACAATGGAAGGTCAGAATTTTGTTGGTAGAAATAGAAAAATAACATACTCGGTCCATATTACAAAGTAGAAATGAAAAGAAGCATAATAGCACAATCAACCATCGCTTAGGAAACTGCTCCCACCAAGGAGACACTTCTGTCGCATTTGCACCAATCAAAACCGCTTCACTGGGCATTTCTGAAGAATTTAATGAATCAAGCTGTGTTTCTGGTACTTCATACTGCTCAGATTTAAAGTTTGCACGTGTTCTAATTGGCAAATGATACACAGTTTGATCATGAGGAACATCTGAAATTCCAGAACTATCCAATTTTCTCCTCTGCGGCCTGGGGAAACCATCTGAAGAAAGAAAGCAATTTGTTCTCGCAGGAGATCTCTGTTTGAGATTGATAGTGCTTGGGCTTAGACTTGAACAATTCCCTAAGAATCTTTCTTGGGGGTGTTCCAATTCTCCAAGGCAAGTGTTTCTCTTCATCATGGCGTTTTTGTCTGAAGTACTAGTAGAAGAAACAGGGAACAAGATAGGCCTAGACAAATGATAACTTTCTCTTCGGATGAACAAGACAAAATTTCCAACCCATGCAGCTCGTTCGCCACGAAACTTGAAATGAATCTTTTTATCATGTGCACTAGTACACTCTGCTTGATACACTTTTCCTGCAGAATAGGAGGCAATTTTTTTGGTATTCCTTCCTAAAAAGTTTACTTTACATGAGCAAAAAGCAATCCTAGTTTCCTTTTCTTTATCTAAATCGAGTGAAAATTAGCATGCAATTCTTACCGCAAAAGTCATATAAGTTCGATATTACGAGGCCAACATTTATATCACTTTTGCTCCTCCCATTACAGTATGTTTTTTTTCTCAATCGACCCAAAACGTTTAATCAGCACCAGATAAAACATCTGCTTTGCTGAACTCTTCAGGTTATGGAAACATTAAATTTAAGGTTGAATTAGGAACATCACTTTCCGATTCCAATACTTTGTTCAAACGAAGTGCCTAGCATTAAAATGACGGCGCATGTCAGTGAATCACGTTGGTGTTGGTAATGATACTTGAAAGCACAACACACAATAAAAGCGTCCTCTTTGCTCGAACTGTCAAACAAATAACACTAAAAACTACAACCCTTCCATGAGTAGCAACAACGATTCTACCAAAAAACAAGATTTTGAACTTGCATTGCTCAACAAATCAAGTCTACGCAAGCAAAAACACGTATCCCGCAAAACTTTGGTTCCACTAGTACTTAGCATCATCTTCAGAGTAAAATTGCAAGCATCACAAGTCGGGAAACACCGTACAGCACACTTCTTCGAAGTAGAAATAGAAACGGGGTCACGAATCATACTTCGTACAAGAAAACGAAAAAGGACCTGGTATTAAAGGGGAGGCGAATCCTCTGCCGGAGACCAGAGTTCCCATCGCCATTCCGACCCGATTCGAGCTCTCAAACAGTGGGCGGAAATCCCAAACCAGGTGCCACGCAAGAGATCTAGGTAAAAGGTACCGAGACCAAAGAAGAAATCGACCGCATCAACGAAAAGAAGAAGAAGGAAGGAAGGAAAGAAAGACGACGAGCAGAAGTTTCGATTCCGTCGATGTGGAAAAGGGCGAGAGGATAAGTGGGAGTGATTGGCTTCAGAAGCGGGAAATAAAGAGGAGGAGGAGCGACCGCCGACGTGTTTCTACCTTTTATGGACTAGCCCACTTCCGGCTCGCTTTCTGCCACGCGGCGCCCTTTGGTTCTCGGATAAGGTTTGATCGTCCGATTGATCGATCCTGGACCGTTGGATCAGAGGCAGCACGAGGATGGATGGAATCCAGTTTTGTGACGGGATCCGCCGATGCCAACCACTCGTCGTGTGGATCAAGAAGCAATTCTGACCGTCCGATCTGCGAACTTTTCCCCGATTCTTAATGAAATGAAACGAAACGAAACGTATTCAATTCAGTTTTAGTACATGCACAGTATTGTTGCAGACTACTGAGGAGCTTGTGTTGTTGTTCTACGACTCAATCGTTCTTGAAGGACGACGACAGCGATCGGATGTCGCCGTCGTTCCCGCCGAGCTTCATGTACTTGTCCTTCCTTGTGAGGGCGGTGCACTCGAAGCCGAGCGCCCCTGCGATCACCTTCTGCACGTGGTTCGCCACCTCCACCGGGCTCCTCCCGCCCTTGCACGTCTGCTCCTCCCGCAGCGGCTCCAGGAAGGTCACCTCGTACGTCGGCCTCGGGTTCATGAAGAAGAAGTAGGGGTCCATGAACTTGAATCCCCTCACCGTTGTCGCGTGGAACATGCTGAGCCTTGTGTTGATCGCCACCGGCACGATCCTGTCGCTCAGCTCAGCGAACAGCGAGCTGAACCGCAGCAGGAACGGCTCTCGGCAGGTGGTCCCCTCGGGGCAGATGACGAGGTCGCCCTCCTTGAGGAGAGCTGCGATGCGGGCGGCGTCGACGGCGCGGTCGCGGGAGAGGGCGATGGCGGGGATGGGGGATAGGGTGGTGGAGAAGCGGCTGACGCTGTAGGTGACGCAGGAGACGAGGCGGCCGAGGGCGACGCTGACGAGGATGGGGTCGAGGGCGGTGCGGTGATTGCAGACGAAGAGGGAACCGGGGGAGCCCGGGGAGGGCGGCGGGGGCGGGGAGCCCCGGATGGAGAGGCGGATGCCAGTGCGGCGGTAGGTGTGGCGGACGAAGGGGCCGGGAACGAGAAGGTTGAAGAAGACGCGGAACAGCGCGAGGGCGAAGCCGAGGGGGAGCCAGAGCAGGACGAGGAGGGCGACGCGGGGGTCGGGCCTCTGGACCAGGCGGCCGTCGTGGAAGACGATGAGCGAGTCGAGCTGCTCCGGCGGGACACGAGCGGCCTTCGGGTCCGGGGGAACCATGTAAGCTTCCTGCACGCACAAATGAGGAGCTCCCTCAAACATTGGCAGCGCTATATAGGCTTGTCACAAAGTGTTCGACGTAAAGCACGGTGTTTCGAACTTACGCTCGAAACACTACTGGATTACAATAAAGCACGATTTGGTGCTTTTAAAGCATGACATCTTCTTAATCATTTTTAGAAACAGGAAGCATTTCTAAATAATAATAAATTAGAAAAAATCTTCCCCAATTAGTTTGATCTTTCTCCCCAAATTAGTTTTATCTAATTTGAGAAAATAAAAGTGAAAATGAGATCAGTTAATACAGTTGCAAAAGCAGTTAAAGAGCAAGAAACTCCCAACGCCGTTAATAAAGTTACGGAACGAATTAGACCGACCTTGCAGAGAGCCATGAAGTCGTGGTCGGACTCCCGGTCGCCGAGGCCCAAGTCCGGCGGCGCCGCCCCGAACTCCCTCTCCACCGCCTCCTTCTTCCGCGGACCCACGAGCACGCCGCCCTCCGCCACCCTCCCCGTGGCTCTCCCCGTCCTCTCGTCCACCTCCAATTCCGTCCCCAGCACCTTGTCCGCCCCCAGACACTCCCTCGCGAACGCCTCCACCATCACCCTCGGGTTCGCCGTCACCAGCACCCGCCGCCGCCCGCACGCCCGGAACGCCCGCCAGCTGTCCGCCCGCACGTCAGCCGCGTAGAACCGCGGCAGCACCGCCCGCGCCGCCAGCTCCACGTCCCGGGCCCGCAGCCCCGCCACCGCCACGTAGATGAGTATCTGGATGCCGGCCGCCTCGGAGAAGAGCTTGTACACGAGGAGGATCAGCGGCGAGAGGAGGAGCAGGGCGGCGCCGCGGAGGAGGCTGCCGGCCTCCACCGCGAGAAGGAAGAAGTAAGGGAAGGAGCTCCGGGAGACGAGAAGGGTACCGTCAAGGTCGGCCGCGGCGACGTGCCCCTCGCGGCCAGAAAGATCGCACCGTGACACATAGGGGAAGCTCTTGCGACCCTCCGCAGGCATGGCGGAAATGGAATATGGGGTGTCTTGTGCGTGAGGGCAGTGTATAAAGGTGAGGCTCGCATGAAGCTTGTGAGAGGTTGGTGTTAGTTGAGAATCAATCCTTTACTTTCTTTGTTAGATAAGCAGCAGCAGATATGGTGGATGATGCTGATTAGTATACCATCTTTCTTGTGTTATACATGTAATCAACATCAGCAACCCAAATCCCCTTCTTGACATATTAGATCAAAACAGGCTTGAGCATATCTTGAGAATGGAGTTGTAGATAGAGTTTGGAGAGTTGTACGACCACAATAAATCAAGCTAGAAACTTGATGATTCTAGTTGGAGTAGTTGATTGGTTTAATGCGTTCTTCTTGCTGAGTCTACATCAGTAGACAGCAGTAGTTGTGATGGATGAACCAACTTGAGCTTTCAGCTTACTTTTCCTTCCTTTATTTAATTAGATCATAATTGTATTAAATAGTATTATAATAATGGCTTCATGCATAAGACTGCAACGTCGATAGCGTCATACGTAATTGTGGAGCAGCAGCTAAAAGTTCACTGCTGCATTTATGATGTTGCCGCAATCGAAGCAGAAGGGATTGGTTTCTGCACCTGAGATGCCGGCAGTGCAGTAGACCGAGGCAAACATCGAGCCAGCCGGCGTAAGGGCCATGCAATCCCATGGGTGCCAACCGTGGTGGAGCAGCGAGGAGAGGGCAAGGCAGAGGAGGAAGAAGAAGGTGGCCGGTTTAATAGGCAGATTCAATGGGTAATAGAACGAGAAAACCGGTCCGGAACATGGTTCGGAAAATTCAACCAAGAAGCGGTTCAAAGCCGGTCTATCGTACCATTTGACGGGCGGTTCGAGAGAGCTATGGAAACTGGAACCGACCGACGTCGAGGCAATCGTTCGTCGTTGTCTCCGTCTCCTTTTTCCTCCTGCGTATCTCCGTGATTCTGCAGACTTCGTCTTCTACTCCGCCGCCGTTTTCCTACCGCAGCGTTGAAGCTCTATAAGACTTCCATGTGAGTAGTAGACAAAACTCCTATCCGAAGAAATTGCAGGCATCGAACAAGCATGTGGTGAAAGATCTTTGTATGCCCATTAATTGTTTGCTATATTGCCTCTTTGATGTGAGTAGTAGACAAACACCTATCATATCCGAAGAAATTGCAGGCATCAAACGAGGCCGTGGTGAAAGATCTTTGTATGCCCATTAATTGTTTGCTATATTGCCTCTTTGATGTGAGTAGTAGACAAAACCCCTATCGGAAGAAACCGCAGGCATCAAACAAGCCTGTGGTGAAAGATCTTTGTATGCCCATTAGTTGTTTGATATATTGCCTCTTCGATGTCCAGTAAAGAGGCTCAACGTTCTTCCAAATAATTCGGGTATATCCTTTGACACGTAGAGGTCAGTTCAAGAGTAATTGAAATTGACTCATCTTGAGTTGAACCCAAATGTTACACTCGGGTCAACCAAGCCGATGATTTAACCTAACATCCACCCAAATCCCTCCCACGCGACCGCTGGCGAAGGAAACCTAGCTATCCTTCGTCTGCTCGTCTGCGTCCCTGCCGCCGCCTCAGAAACGCTTCCCGGAGAAGCCGTCGCCCTTCAGCAATGCCGGTATGTCTCTCCTCTCTATGCCGGCGACCCGCTTCCCGCCTCTCTTTCCCTCTCGCTGTCTTTCTCCTCCTCCTCCTCCTCCACCGTCGTCCCCGCCGAGCCTCCCCGATAACCCCACTCCCTCCTCCTTCACCCCCTCCCCCCTCGTCTTCGCTCTCCCTCCTCCTCCTTTCCGTGCTTTTCCCCATCCCCACTTTCCTTCCCTCCTGCTGTCGCTATCCCTCCTCCTCTGCCGCCGTCGCCCCCTGCCGAGAGTCCCCGACAGCCCCCCTTCCCCTTCCGCTTCCCTACTACACTGCCGTAACGCCGCCGCCCCCATCCGAACCTTCCCCCCCTCTCTCTCCTCTTTCGTGCTTCTACCCCCGCCACTCTCTGCTGCAATCAGACCATTGTTGGGATCCTCACGCCCTTTCTCTGGTTCTCCCCAGCAGAGCCGCCGAGCCTCCTTGCTCTGCTTTCGCCTTCGATAGCGCATCTCCTGCTTCTGACCTTACAGTTCCTCAGTTTTTTTTTTTTTCTTCTCCCCGACAGCTCCATTCGACCTTACCTCCTCTTGAATTTAATAGTAAAGTTAATTATTAATTATAATAGTTCTTATTTGTTAATAATAACTTATGAATTGTATAAAATGATTGAATTTATCATTGCCAGTATTTTGGAGTGTTGCTGCAGCTTTAGGATCTTGAATCATGACAAATATAGTTTTAGGGTTATTATTCTTTCTATTAGATTTGGGCAATGTAGTACTTTAGTGTTTTATAGATGGTTAAAAGAATTTAATTTGATGTTTTAGTGACGATGTTTTGAACATAAAATACTATGAAACTCATGTATTACCTAATTTTTTTTATAGTGATTATTTCCTCCTTAATTATATCTTTTATAATTTTTATTTCAGTGGGCGCTTCATTTCGCTCCTCAGTCATTTTTGAACATTGGCGTTTTTTAATACCTAGCATCTTTGACAACATCGGGGTTTTTATTTGCAAGCTATAGCACTTTATCATTTAAAATGACCTGAAGTCCAGATAGAGCAACCACAGAACTGAATCGTCATGCGCAAAATGGTTATGCTCATTAATTACATGGTGATCTGTGGAATTGACAAATTTGCAATTTGGCCTATGTAGATGGGCAGGACAAAAAAGCAGGGTGTCTTACGAGCCAACCAAGCAATATATCAAGGGGCAACACTTCGTGAGGAGAACACTGGTGTAAAACAAGTGGACGTGAGTTCTATCTTGAGGATGCAGCATCTTCAGCGT